TATTTTAATTTTTTTTCCCAGACTGAGAGAGATGTGTATAAGAGACAGATATATACCCACAAAGATGTTTTAGCTATTTACTATATTCGTAGACACTATCCTTATGTCATACACGAAACACTAAATCTAAACATCAAAATTCGCGCGATACTTTGTGTGAGGCCGATCGCAAAAACCTGTGTTGACGATTCACTGTATGACGAAATAATTTTTTCTGATGAATATTTAAACAATGTTCCTCGTGGCCGCTAGATTTAGTCTTTACCGCATGCATGCTGCATGCTCATTGTTGACGTGCGGCATGCGCGGTGACGTAATGAAGCTGTAAAACATAGACTGTTTCTTTTACAACCCGACGCGGTATTTTATTTTCTTTTAGATCTGAGCACTGCGTTACAGATTAACAAAGGGGATTTATTTATATTACACGTAAGCGACTCGCGAAACATGGCGAAAAAGGTACGTGCTTTTCGGTGGTTTGGCTGGTTTTTTTATCCAATATCCAGCCTCGAAATACTTCGGTAATTGGTCGTGACATTATAAAAACATAGCGTATACGTTATGAGAACATTCCTGCCAGCGGTTTAAGAGGAGATGGGTAAGTTATACAGAGGAAATTAGCTGAATTAATAGGAGTGAACTTGTTAAACTGGGTGGTTTGAAATGTTCAGGACAGCACCTTCAAGTACCCTCAAACAATAATAGTTTGAAAGTATACGGTACTATAAGTTTATGCCTATTTTAGATTATAATGCATGTCAGTTAACTAAATTATTACCAATAAAAAAAAAACATATGGCTTACGGATCGTAAAATGAAGTCCTTATTATGCGTATGCCTCCGTGAAAACTTCTCTTGAAACTGAAATAAAATGCAATAAGAAAGTGCTGTTAAACTCAAATAACACGAATACGTTGATGTTTCTATTTGAACAAAATAAGGTTAACATCAGCAATTTATTATGGTAGTAGCTATTGTTACAGCGAATTGTTGATTTTGATTGGGTGTTTTGTCCTAATCCAGTAGCAATATCGTCCAATCAGAATTAAGATTTTGTTTAATACTGAAAGGTCCACTGATTATTCTCAGATAAGATAGTATAATACATACTCCAAGTATCGAAATGCACGCCATCTCGCGGGATTTAATAGTTCGACATTAATTATGTCATTATCAGGAAAGCTTGCAAATATGGATAATTTTTCATTGCTGATGATGACATAATTAATGTCGAAATATTGAATCCCGACACGATGGCGTGCATTTCGATACTTGGAGTATGTATTATACCATAGAGAAAATAGAACAGACTCTATGATTATACTTACTATCTTGTTTAATACTGGTATAATAAAAACTGCTGTCTATAATACGTCATACATAATGTTGCCTGCTGCCACGCTACTATAAACACGATGTTGTGCATTGGTTATTGCGTAAATCCAGCTTTATTAAAGAAGTCTACTGCCACTGAGTATTGAAAGTCTTTCAATACTCAGTGGCAGTAGACTTCTTTAATAAAGCTGGATTTACGTTGCTAGTTCTATATCTTTCCAAAGATATAGAACTAGCAACTTCTCAGTGTAGGCATAGATTGCATCGTTTAGTAGTGTTAGAGTGCGGCTTTTATGTGTTTAAATGTTTTCATTTTAAAGTATATTGCGTGTCTGTGATTTTTAATGCACATATATGGGTTGTATCCAGGCACGCCGGAAGATTTTTATTAGTAATAGAAATATTATACATAATCATCATTGCATTAACATGACTTCTTTTTATTAGTTTTGTCTTTGTAGCTTAAAACAAGTAATATTATATTATAACAATCATTCATACTTGTAGTAAATACATCAATTAACGATTCATGCTTTATTTATACTTGTCACCATGGGATTTCATAAATATTAACGTACGTACAAATAATAGTAGTTAAACATTAATTTAAAAGTAGAAATGATATTTTAATGTGATTTTTTACACCAGACGACGTATTACCATACTGCACCCTGTGTATACATAACAGATGTTTTATTTAATTAGCATACTGTCATTTATTTGATTTTAATATTTTAATTTTTTTTCCCAGACTGAGAGTGCTATCCGACAATCTAGAGGTGCCATAATCATAATTTTTTCCCTCAGTCCCAACCATGGGCTCCAGTTCGTGGTCTATAAAAATCTCTCCCTGGCGCAATTCTTTTAACGTACGATAGTCTCATAAATTATTTATAATCATCCTTATAGAATATTTTACGGATGCCCTATTTTTTAATTCTGTATCAGTCACAATGATCAGCTGCTCTATGCATCGCAAGGTACCTAGTGTTAGGAACTAGATTATATTAGATTATTAAACACCTAAATACCAATATTTAGTGAAATACTTTAATA